TCCGGAGAATTATAAAAAATTTATTAGCTGTCATAAGCGCTGAATTAAAGTATTGGCTGCCAATAGCGCCTAATTAAAGCATCGGCTGCCAATAGCGCCTTTAATTACAAATATTAATTTTGTTTTTACTTCCATCACTAGAAGGTTGCCCCAAACGCTAACTGGAAATGGATCTTCAGTGTCACAAGTTCTGTTATGGTAATACAGAACAAAACATTTTAACTTCCGAAGAATGGTTGACGGAAACGATGATAGATAATTTCCATGCGCTACTCGAAAGAAATTCTGATTATGTACTTCGACCTGTATGGTTGACAATATTTCTCGATTGGATTGTTTCACTCGATAATTCGAACAAGAAGCATTTGCAAATATTGCACAGTGATTTCAGTGGCAGACATTGGGTTGTTTGCCATTACGACACAAAAAGTGTTATTATATACGATTCTCATGAAGGTGCCGTAATGCAAATATACAAAATTTGAATGGAGAAATTCAAGTTTTTGTGGACAGATTATTTCTCTTTCATGACTTTGAGAACAATCCAATAGTATTTCTTGAAGTTCAGTCGCAAGGTGACGGTTATAATTGTGGTCCTATGGTGGTTGCGATTGCTACATCGATTCTGTTCGGTATAAATCCTTGCATCGTGACGTATGATCGATCTTTGCTAAGACCTCATTTGTCCGCAATGTTTGCAAAACAAACAATAACTCATTTTCCGTACCTCTATAATTCAATTGCTCCATTTACGCTATTGCCGTTAGAGACGTTGAAAAAACGCGAAGCGGATGTACTGAGAAAAAGACTTGCACGTAGCAAAGAAACTGAAGAACAGCGTTCGAAACGAATCGAGATGCGAAGAAAAATGCTTTTTCTCACAGAGAAAAATATGTTATGAATTCTGAAAGTAAATGTCAGAGGGCGCGTGATCAGTACAAAAGAGCTCCTGAAATAAAACGTCAGAGGGTGCGCGATCAGTACGAAAAAGATCCTGAAACAAAACGACAGAGGGTACGTGATACATACAAAGAAGATCCTGAGAGGATGCGTAAACGAAAGCAGTGCGAGTATCAAACAAATTTAGAAAATAAACGGTACATTAAACGAAAATATTATTTGAAAAATGTTGTCCGTGAAAGAGATCGCCAACGACAAATCCCGACTTAAAAATATTGTACAACAAAAAGTGCAACGTAAAACGCGGCGAGAAGTCTATCGTACAAAGATGGAAGACGATCAAGAGATTGAAGGAAAAATTCAATATTGTTCGGTCTTGGCAAAAGTGTTTCAACTTTTCAAAACGCTCACAGTTATATTCGAATGATGTCGAGGAAAATTAATAAATCGCCAGTATGTGCTCGTTTGGAAGATGAACAGATGTTCAAATGGTGCGTAATAGCGAAAAAAATCGTACGTCAATGCAGCAAGAAAAGTGTTTTCGTATTATTTTGAAGAATGCTGCTGAAGCTGCGCTATTGCGATTCAATGAATGTAAGACTTTGAAATATTCAAAAAGCGATCGAATTAAAGCTCTTTGTGGCTCATCCAAACATACTTCGTTTTCCGAAGCGTACTTTTATGAAACTGCTTACGAGCAAAGGAAGAAGTTTGAGCAACCACTTATAACGGGACAATGCTCTCCTCACGCAGTGATTAATGTTTTGCCGATAATAGATAACAATGGTAAAAAAATAAAAATGTGGCACTGTGATGAGAACAAATGTCACATAAGTGATGTTTCCATGGGAAAGTTTGTTGAATTTTTTGAACAGTTCGAAGGAGGAATTTTGAAGAAGATAATGAGTGCTAAATTCATGGCGCGACTCAGAAATTGTTCCGTTTCACATGCAATTACCAGATTAGGACATCCTCCGGAATGCTATGCAAATCCTAATCTTTGCAAGTCATACATTGCAACATTAAGCACTTTATCGCCTTATTTTCCTTTTGTGAGGAATATTCGAAGAATTGTCTACAAATTGATATGCAATTATAAAAGTTTCGTCAGTTGTTTTCAGCTTTGAGGTTCGTCAATATGGATAAATTGCTTGAAATTTCTAATGATTTAAAGACCAAAACAAGATGTTATCCAAGAAATTTAACAGATGTTAGTTTGGACGAAGAACAGATCTTCTCGCGAAATTACGAAGCGTTTAAAGTTATGAAAAAGCGATTGTTGGATCTACCACGTCTCCCTTGTATCTCTTGCGAAAAATTATGTGTGAGTAGAGACGTTTCTAAGCTTGAGAAGTTGAAGAGAACAGTGGATGGACCTTTTTGGAAAGACTTGATGGCCTACGTAATAGAACACAATACCGATACTAGATTCATTTGTAAGCTTTGTTTGAGCAAATTTCACAGAGGCGTGTTGCCTTCTGCTTGCATTTTGAATACTCTTGCCGTAAAACCATTACCAGAAGTTTTGTCGGATTTCAATGATTACGAAAAAATGTTGATCAAGAGAGCGAGCAGTTTCCAAATAGTGCAAACGATGGGTGATGTTTCGAACAAGCATATGCCGCACAGACAAATGATCCGGAAGGTAAAAGGCAGAACATTTCATTTTCCTCTGCCTTTACAAGAAACATTGGATAAGGTATGTCCTCCGGAAGAACCTATAAATTTGAATCACGAGTTGCATATCCTCGTTCAAGGTATACCCAAAAGATCTAAGTTGTTTTGGGAAAATTTGGTGGATATTAATAAAGTGTATAAGGCTTTACAATGGTTGAAAGACAATAATCCCCACTACTCGGAAATTCGTCTTCCACCGTCGTCTGACGGTCTTATAAATGATAAGTTACAAGAAACAGAATATCGGATCGTCAGTGACGAAAGCGATAGTGATGAAATAGACGAGGTGGTTGAAGCATGTTTGAGGTGTACTGTAGAGCACAACAAAGATAATAATGAGCAAACTGTTTTAAAACGTAAGGCTTTCCTCACGCAATTCACTAAAGATTCCGATATTAATGACCAGTATACAATATACTCAATGCACGCGAAAAGAATCGATAACGAATCTGCATTCAAATTTTATCAAATGTTGAAAATTGAAGATGTTCCAATGGATAATTGTTATAAATATCTGGATGTCATGTGTTACCCTGATTTATATCCCGAGGGTGTCAATGGACAACGAGAAGAAAGAAACTTTGCATTGCCGGATTATTTATTTATCAGAACGCGATTGATGTCGAAACACAGTAGATTCAGGTTGAATCTACAGTATCTGTTCTTCCTTCTCAATGATGCTAACTACCGACAATTGAAAAATGTCTATTGGTATGATGGTATACTATGATGGTTGCTAACTCACGAGAGAGATACACTGCTGGTAGATACTTGAACGAATCGAAAGACGAACAATTGGAATCGAATTTAATGAGTATTTTTGCAAAACTGAGAAATACGGATTAATTTTGGCGACAACCGTCCAATAATGTCAAATGCATGACTTTGCATTATGGTCCAGCGACGTGGTTTTTAACTTTGAGTCCTAGTGAATGGAAATGGTCCTATTTGGGTGAATATTTACGAGACATGAATCCCGATAAACAGAAGTTGAGCATCAGCGAATTAATCGCATACGATCCTGTAAGTACGTCTAGATTCATGTGCATAAAATTTAAAGCCATGATTGATTTTATTTGTTCGTCCGATAATCCAATAGGAGAGGTCAGTCACTATTTCTGGCGACTGGAATATCAAAGTAGAGGTATCCAGCACGTGCATTGTATGATTTGGATAAAGGATGCTCCAGTACTAGGAAAATCGTCGATGAAGAAGTTGTTACATTCATTCGAAAATACGTGACGTGCGAAATTCCAGATGAAAACGTTTCGCCAACGTTGTACGAAACGGTTATAAGTGATCAGAATCATAAACATAATTCGTATTGCATGCGTACGAAAAAAATCGAAACGAATATTTACAAAAAGTGTCGGTTCGATTTTCCTCGGCCAGTTACTGACGATTTCGTTTTAAAAGACGTCATCACTTCAATAGTGGGTAGAAAAACTTTACGCAGTAAGAGCAGATTGTATGATCTTCCTCGCAAGACGTCGGAAAGGTTTATTAATAATTATAATCCGGCTATCAAGTTAGCCTGGGAGGGGAATATGGACATACAATTTATTGAAGAAAAACCAGAGTTTTTAAACTCATACTTAACAAAATATACGACAAAGTCGGAGAAATGTAATATAGACTTTGCAATGATGGATTCCAATAAACCCTTGGCATCGAAACTGTGGAATTTTACGATGCATTCATTGAATAACAGAGAATGCGGTGCTTTAGGAGCTGCGAACACACTGCTAGGAAATCCCTTGTATGGTACAGATAGTGATACCATTGTGAAATGGATTGACGTTAATGAGATGAGAAACACAAAAGTTAAAGCATTTAATGAAATTAAAGCTCTCGATGAAAATTCTATGAATATTTATTGTCCGTCGCTCATTGATGATTACTATCCAAGTAGACCTAAGGAATTAGAATTATTGAATTTGTATGATTTTGCCAGATTTTGGGAAATTACGAGACAGATGCCAAAAAATGACGAAGTCGAATGTTATAAACTTGTATCGGATTTATTTCTAAAAAAACGAAAAAAGTGTTATTTGATTAATCATTATCGATTTAATTTAAAAACTGAACCCAAAAAATACTTTTACTCGCTGCTTCTTCTGTTTAAACCATGGAGAGATTTGAGTGAACTCAAAGGTGCATACGAGACTTACACAGATGCCTTTAAGAATTCAGAGTCTGCTTTAACGAAGGCAACGAAATATCACGAAAGGCTCGAAGGAATACAGAAAGCTTTTGAGAACGTTGCTGAATTAATCGAGAAGCGCGAAAATGATTAGAAAACAGCAAACAGAGACAAATCCGATTACGATGGACTGGAATGCAATCCGATAGAGGCTGACGACGCCATGAAAGATCTGAATGATTTTGGTAAGATTGACGTCCCGATTGATTTATCGCAAATGATGTCGCGGTTGAACGAAGACCAGAAAAGAATCTTTGATAGAGTATGTCAAGTTTTACAAAATAAAAATCAGATTCTGCGACTGTACGTAAGTGGCGAGGGTGGTACAGGGAAAAGTTTTCTTATTGAAACGATTAAACATTGGATCAGAATACATTTGAAAAAAGCGACTGCCATATTTGCTCCCACGGGTATCGCGGCATTCAATATCGAAGGCTTGACGATTCATAGAATGTTTCAGCTACCCGTCACACATGAATTTACGGCAAAGTATACGCACTTGTCAGACATGATTTTGAAAACTTTGAGAGACAAATTAAAGACTGTCGAATTATTTATAATCGATGAGATATCCATGATTTCGAATGTGACATTTATGTTTATCAATCTACGATTATGTGAAATCTTTGATACGACAGATACAGATGATGGTTTCTTTGGCAGAAAACATATTCTTCTATTTGGAGATTTGTTGCAGCTTCTCCCTGTAAAAGAACAATCTCCGTTCGTTAAAATGTCTCGATCAGAGATTCAGAAGTATTTGGGTATCATGGGTGGATCTGATTTGTGGAGATTGTTCGATTACGACGAACTCTTGATTAATATGCGACAAAGAGGCGACAACACATATCGCGATATACTTTCTAGAATACGAATAGGTTTGGTAACGGATTCGGACATCAATGTTCTTCAGTTGAGAAAAATCCATTTCAAAGGAAGTAGTTGCGATGAAAGATTGAATGAACTCTGCACTTATATGACTCAATTACCGATTGATACAATATGTTTATTACCCACGTATTATCTGTGCAAGGTTTTGAACGATAGATGCTCGATAGAATTGACGGTGATGAAATTGTACTGATGCAAAAGACACCATGTCTGCAAAAGACACCATGTCTCCAAAAGACATCATGTCTGCAAAAGACACCATGTCTCCAAAAGACATCATGTCTGCAAAAGACACCATGTCTTCAAAAGACATCATGTCTGCAAAAGACACCATGTCTGCAAAAGACACCATGTCTACAAAAGACACCATGTCTTCAAAAGACACCATGTCTGCAAAAGGCTGCGGTTCACTTGACGCTACAAACGCTTTGAGGCATTCTTTGATTAGTCAATTCGTAAAATTCTTTGTTCTGATTGATCCCTCAAATGCTTCGAAGAGTTTGTAGCGTCAAGTGGACCGCAGCCATAGACACCATGTCTGCAAGAGACACCATGTCTGCAAAAGACACCATGTCTGCAAAAGACACCATGTTTGCAAAAGACACCATGTCTGCAAAAGATTAAACCGCCAAATCTAAAATATGAATTCAGGACTTCAAAACAAACAAAAATTTTCCTCTGGATGTATGCTCGCAAACGCTTCGTTCAAGAGATATTTACTTCTGAAGTTACAGAACTGTAAGAATGAATAATGTCGGAATAAGATCTGTATTTATTTCTGGAATTACAGAATTGTAGGAATGAATAATGTCGAAATAAGGTCTGTCCTCTTTATTGCTTTGCAATATCAAAATTTAATTATTAAACGTTTTGTTCAAAATGATGATCTCTAGCTTGGAGACCAACATTACATCTGTCGATGAGAGGACGAGGCTGATTGACATTATGTGTCTGTAATTTTTTCACACGCTTGCACAATTATTCGTTTTGATGATTGAAAGTCATTCGCAGAAACCGCATATATTTTTTGTTCAGAGTGTTCCATACAAAAAAATTTAATGGTGTTTAAATTCTGTTCCGTTAAAAACTCCGGTTAAAAACAGTTCTGTATAACTTTAGAGGTATAAATACTTCTTGAACGAAGCGTTTGCGAGCATACGTGCAGAGGAAAATTTTTGTTTGTTTTGGGGTCCTGAATTTATATTTTAAGTTTGGCGGTTTAATCCAGGAACACTCTGATAAGAGAAATTATGTCTACAAAAGACACTATGGCTGCTTTCCTTTTAGGAGACACAGTCGACACAAATGCTCGAAGTGAACGAAAGCAGTGTTGCTTAAAGTATTCTATTATTGGAAAAAAATAGGTTAAAAAGGATGCTTTTGCGAAACATTCACAAAATGTTTTTAATGATAATTTTTGTATTCACGAATAAAATATTGACATTCCTATTACTAAAATTTTTAATATTTTTTCTTTGCTTTATTTATAATATATTTAAGAACCTTTTTTAGTGGAATAGGCCTATTGGGGAAATCACTTAAAGAAAAACGCATCTACATTAGTACCTCTAGGGTGATGTGGAAAACTATAACGAAAAAAATATGGTTGCGTTCTCACGAGAATGGAGGGGCCTATTTTCTTTATTTTCAGTGTATTCATAGAATATTATGAATTCATTCTGTTGCAATTGAAATAAATATGTAATGTATGGTAAATATTTATTAAAATTATATAAACAATTACATATATACTATTAAATAAAATGTATATGTACATAATATATATTTATATACATATATTTATTAT